AGTATTGAATATCACTACTCTTAAATGATTTTATCCTCAATACAACAAAATCATCATAGATGGAACAATGAGTGGTGATTTTAAGGTCTCACTGGAAGTGTGGGTGGTCATTTTAGAGTTGGAATAAAGATGAGAACTTGCATTTATATATGAAAATTTCGAGAGGAGCTTTCAGGGATAAATCCGCTTAATGTATTATAAGGCAAGCTCTCAGCAAACTATACTCATTTCTAAGCATTTAAAAAGTAAAGTTCTCCACAGGAGAACCATGCAGTGCGTGGACTGAATGAATCACTTGCCTCAGGTTAAAATGAGAGAGAGAGAGAGCACAAAATTAAAGCGTAATAATTAAATGTATTATAAATCATTCTATGGTTATAAGCATGTATAAACATAAATGTCAAACAAATTTCAAGAGATTTGGGAGTGCAGTTTGAGCTTTGCCACAAATGTTAAAATCTCGCATCATAGCTCTGTCACAGGTTGGGCTGGACCGCTCGCGTCTGAAATTAAACCTAATGAATTATGTTTAGGATGATGTATTGCGCAAGACTTCAGAGTTTTAGTTTTTTTCCAAAAACATACCAAGAATTAAAAAATGAGCTTAAGGAGCAGTGGAACTCACTCTGCAAAATCTTTGAACAGAGTTCTTCTCATTTATAATTGTTGCCAGTTTTGTGTTCTATAATATCAAGCTAATTCCTAGATACAAATATCGTTTCATGTCGCATGATCTTTGTATTTAATATCTTTTTTCCGCGTTTTTCTTCGTTTTTTCATTCGAAAAAGTTTTATGTTAAATTTAGAATTATGTAATACAGTAAGCATTATCGCGGTGACCACTTCCGTATGATAACGATTTCCGGAAGTGATCAATATTTCATATACATAAATAAGTATTCTTATTGAAAATCATCTCGAAAATCATCTCTCTAAGATCAGTGCTCCGCAACCTTTTCTCATCTGCGACGCACAAAAAATCCTTCTGGAATTTCGTGGCACACCAAAGAGTTCCCAGTTATCCAGGAAGTGCCGAAAAAATTCAAATGCTGACACACTTACAATCACACACACAACCACACAACAGTGAAATATATAAAAACATTTAAAATAGACATTATTAAGGGGAAAAAATTGTCATTGTGTATTAAATACATGATAAAAAATTGCAAAATGTCAAATACATGTATTTGATTGCGGCACACCTATATCCTACTCATGGCACACCGGTGTGCCGCATTCACAGAAGAACAAATGTGCCTGGATTTAGGGGTACTTTTCTTAGATACGGCTCATTCCGCTTAGTTTTGCATTTCAAGATTTACAAAAATTGAAAAGTTTGATGGCAATTTCATGATTATTTCAGGACAATAACAGGAGTTATGCATCATTTTTTTTCAGTTACATATATTTCTTAATTTTTCAGTCTGGTGTTATTACTATAATATATGTTTGAAATGGCAACGCATTTTTGTTATTAATCCTTCATTTGCAAACTCGAAGTCTTTTTGCATAGACGTTTAGTAAATTGAGTCAATTCTACTTATATCCAGCAATAATCAAGATAAATTTGTATTTGAACAAACCGAAATATAAGAAACAGAGCACCAAAGAATATCACGTGATTCATTTAATTAGCTAAATTCATTTGTAATTCCTCCAAATGCCTCAGAAAATATTAACTTTTTCCTTCCTTTTGTCGATTTCGCGTATTTCTCAATAGTTAATATGAGAAAGTAAGTCATATAGATGCAGAATTCGTTAATTTTATTGAGTACAAAAGCTTACATAAAATTTTAACTTCATAAAATAAGAGGAAGCACTAGGAAATTATCCAAAATACTACATGCAGTCAATCGTCTCTGAGACAACCACCCAAGGCGCAGGTGAATTTCATCTTTTCTAGTGTTCGTCATCCTAAAGGAATGATTCTAAGTAATTTGTTTCTTTATATTACCAGAACTATTGGTCATTTTCAAATATCATCGTTTAAGACGATGCTAAGTACGAAAGAGTTCATTGTACTGTTTACTTTCAGAGGTGTTCGTCTTAGGAAGGTATTCATGAGAGGGTTCAAGGTATATTAGTTACTAATCTAGGGATTATCAAATTTTAAGAAAGTAAAATGTTCGAAAACATACAAGAATTGACAAACACTACTGCTCCAAACGATTTGTGTCTTCTAGGAACACGGTTGCCTTAGAAAGGTGATATCCAGTTCCAATTTTCGTTTATGTTCTAAGAGACACTCGTCTGTATCAAATGTCGTCGTCTGTGGAAGCTGGTGGCTATGAAAGATTTCTCCGCATTTTAAATTTATAATTTAAGCATTTATATAACTTTCTTCAGCAGTTTAATACTATTTGCAATCTCATAGCGACAACTCATTTAAGAACATGAAGTAACTAATGTTTTAAAAAACATAAATAAACACTGGTATTGAATATGCACAGACGATCAAAAATCATCTGGATCCGTGGATGATCTTCTTAGAGATGGCTCTTGGTACATGCATAATGAAGATAACTAATAAAACTTTTTATTTAGAAAAATGTTTCTACAGTAAAATCTCCTTAACTTGAACATCCACAGTTCCAGCTGACTTTAAGTCATTTGTGAATATAATTCCTTAGAATAATAATGCCCATTATTGATGGTTATTAATGTTCTTATAATAAATAATGGCCAATCTGATCGGCGGTCCTTGAAGATCGTCCCTTTTTTTTTAAATTCCTACTATTAGCTCACACTCTCCCTATATCATGTTAAAATTTTCAATCGTTAATAAAATACTTTTTATTCATCCACTCAAGTTCAAATACATTTTTTTAAACTTGTAGTGGATGACACTTGATGCTAATACAGTTTTTTTTCACATATTAATTTTTTAAAATTTTTAATTAAGAATATTTTTTGTTGTTGACCTAAGTAGGAATTGGCTTTAACTTTTTTATTTAATTAATTATTAATTAATTAATTTTCAATCGTTAATAAAATATTTTTTATTCATCCACTCAAGTTCAAATACAATTTTTTCAACTTGTAGTGAATAAATAACACTTGATGTTGATACAGTTTTTTCTTTTTTGTTTTTTTGACCTGAGTAGGAATTGACTGAGTAGGATTTTTTTTATTACTTGTTTAATACGCATACCTCATATAACTTAAGATACCTTTATCATTTTCAATGATCATACTGAGCATATTTCATCTGAAAATAAAATCACAGTGCATCTTCTCGTGGAGCCACCTTTTTAGAATTGACCATTTTTTCTGAGAACATACACAAACATCAGTATACGACACCGTTTCTCTTAAAAGAACACTAATGGATATCATTTCTCTTTTCCTGTGTACACAGGGTGGGTTTCCTCTGGACACAGGGTCTTCACAGGAGATTATAATCCTCTGGAACCGTGGTGGGACGTGCTAGAAAGGCTTTGTGTTATTAATATTTTCTATAAATAATTGGTTGGGCACCTGACAAACTGAATGAATGTATAATTGGTTGGACAACTTAAAAACTTAAAAGTATAATTTGTGTATCCCTAGGAACCAAGCATACAAATTTTTAAAAGTGCATGAATTTCGCAAAGAGTAAGAAACTAAGATTAATTTTCATCAAGTAAGCCTTCTCTTCTAACAATTAGTCCTCGGGAAAACGCTTATATCAGCGGCGGGAGTTAAGAAGCGAAAACCCCATCTTCCTTCTTTACCTATCAGGCCTACCAGCGGTCGAGAGGCAAAACCGCTGATTCATGTAGTTCGACCCGGATTCAAATCCCGAGAAATGGGCTGGTTGCATGGGAGCTTTCCTGAGTTTGCCTAAATGCAACGTGAATACGTGGGAATTTCCATAAGAAAGGCCTCTGGGAAGGTATCCCTGCCCACAGATAGATAACTGTCGTGTGCTTCGCCACCAAATTTACCAAAATTACCAAAATTACCAAAATTACCAAATTTACCAAAATTACCAAAGCAACAACCTTGTGTTTGGCATAGGTTTTAGTCAAGATTTCAAGGGCATCGATTTCAAGGGCGAACAGGTATAAGTCCCTGTTCATCACGCAGATTTCTTTGCTTGTGATGAAGAGGGACCTGTACCTATATGCCCTCGAAATCGGTATAGAGTCTTGACTAAAATCTACCCCAAACACAAGGTTCTTGCTTTGGTAATTTTATGTTTTACTTTGCTGTGTTTCTCTTCTTCCTTAAGTCAATCTACATCCATCAGAGAACAGGTATTACGGTCTTTTAGAAAAACTCGTCTAGGTACAGAAGTGCATTCTCCACGAAAACTGAAATTGTGAACTTTACAAGTCATTTAGAACTTTGTGAACTTTATTTGTTGTTTAAAACTTTAAGTTGTATTTAATATTGCAAAATTCCCATTTTTCAAAATGGGGAGAATGTTGAAAATGAATACTATTACATCGCTTTAAATTTATATTTTGTAAAATGACGGCGAAAATATTGCTTACTTGGAATAATATTTCTTTTTAAAATGGGAATTGAATTCTAAATGTTGAATAAAGATATGATCTTGTCCATGCTACATTTAATATTTATTTTACAGTCAAAAACCGTGGTATTTAAAACCTAAGAAGTGAAATTTTATTATTCAGGGGCCATTTCGACACAGCAGTTAGCATGTTTTCATACGCATGTGAATAGTTTACAGGATCTTACCGAGTTCCTCCTAATCTCGCTATCTACTACCGCGCGTTGTTTATGGTAATATTCTGGATATTAATATGTAATCACATTAATGTGATTGGATTACCTACAAGGAAGAGGGTAAACTGCAATGAACATTCTCGCTGCATCCATCTCTGATCTGACCAGTAGTTCTGAGAATGTAAGTAAAAATGCGTATTAATCATCATTACTGTCTAGAGCTATCTAGCACTGTGGGTAGGAGAAAATTCACAGCAATATGAAAATGGAGATAGGATAGTTAGAACAAAACAAGAGAATTAGAAATGAATTTTCAAAAAATATGAAAATTTCAAAAGTTTTACTAGTAACTTTTTCTGCTCTCATTTCAAAGATTTACATTGCAGAACAAGAAAGTGTGTGAGAAATAATGCATTTGTGCTCTCAGAAACCATAGCCTTCAGAAATTTCATTGCATTTGGTTTGTTAAAAGTTCTTAATTTTTTTTGTCTTGAAGCATTTGTCCTTTTAATAAATTTTCACTTTTAGATCGCTGTTTCACATTTCGTTTAATCTCCAGATCCTGCTTTTCACTTTGTCAATCACATTCGGATTGTCATTGTATTTTCTATTTTATGATCCGCTCGCTGTTCTCCTTCCAGCCTCCATATTCACCTAGAGAAGTTAAAACGAAAACTAATTATCATGGTTAAGTTTATCAAAAAAAATCTGATGTGTACACCACATGACTTCCTTGTACGGAATATTAAATTATACGCATTTTTTCTTGCATTTCATTTAAACTTATTGGATTGAATTAAATCTACTTCGCCGACAGCGCATAAAACACAATAGAATAAATGCATTCTTTAAAATTCACTCTAGTATTTGTTTACCATAGCGACACCCTGGCGCTAGATTCACTTAACAGTATTAATAATTATATAACAGTTAACTTATATATTTTGTTCATGTTATAACTCATAATGCACAAAATTTATATCATTTAAAGAATAGAATTATCTAATCGTTGCCACATGTTATATTCAAATACTCTAATAAAGCTAGAATGATGTATAAAAGAAATTAAGCAAACAAAACAAAAAAGAAACAGCTTTTTACAGACGATTTAGTATTTCTCATTCAATTAATTCAGTTCTCACTTCGCAAGAAGGCAAAAATACATAAAAACTCAAAATATCTATATTAAAAATTAAGAAGTAAATCTTAAACACTTATTTCCTCGAAAAAATTCCAGAAAGAATTAAGCATGATTTAATTGGCAATAATAAATGAATGCGTTATCTTTGTTGTTGCGAAGCTAAGTTTCTCTAGATTGGCAACAAATCCACTAGTCTCCTGTTTCAAATGTAAATATCAATGGCCGCCATTAAAAAAAGGCTTAGCAGCACTGAGACAACTTTAAAATTGTTGATAATTCTAAAAATATTTCATACAGATTTACTAAAGGCATAAAAACCTTAACCGGAAGTTAAAAACAACATAATACAATCATTTTTAAAGCAAAAAATGTACAATTTACAAACATATAAGAGAAAAGAAACTGAGATCACTGAGCCGGGTAACAGAGTGGATATATATATAAATATATTTATATACGTTTGGTGCAGCCGATTGCAACCAAAATACGAGGTGCAAATCTACATGTTATAGCAGTCCTATATACAAAATTTCAACGTCCTGAGACTACTCCCTTTTGAGTTATGCGAGATACGTACTTACGCACGTACGTACATACGTTCGTACAGACGCCACGAAAAATTCTCTTCAGAATTAATTTTAAAGCAGTTTTATAATTTTTTTGAAGGAAAAGAGTATTTTATTCTGCCCTTACGTATACAGATATCACGCAAAAACATCGTTAAATTGCATTCGATAGCGGTCAAAATGGATATTTTCCTTGAAATATGCTGCCTCAAACTTTTCGCGATTACAATACTTCCTTTTTACTTCGTACAAGGAAGTAAAATGTTAGAGGTGGGAAAGAGACATACATCCCGTCACGCTTTATCATTTCTTGGCAATTGGTTTCGTTGCTTAGGTGACCAAGCACGTTATTTCAAAACCGCTTCTCTTACAGGCACAAATTCTGATGTTTGAATTGTCTGATGTCGTGTTGGAAGGTGCAATATTTTACACGCTGTTTCAACAGCATTAGTGTTAAAATTTTGACAGGACTCTGCTGTGGCTTGGAATTAGTATTTTTGAAGTTTTTAAAAGCAGTCACAATTCCAGTGGAAAAATACCAACGAAATACGAAGTCCTAAAATAAATGAGGGTCCCGAAACACCTATATTTTGAAATGAATCGCTATATGAACAGAACGTTCTACTATTCGAACAACATTTCTTTTAGCTACGTGTAAGACTGATGTTGATACAAGTGACTAAAGCTGTGGTAATCAAATTGTTGGCTTAAAAAAACTCATAAAACTCATTTTTACTTCCTTGTACGATGTAAAAAGGAAGTATTGTGATCGCGAAAAGTTTCAGGCAGCATATTTCAACGAAAATATCATTTTGACCGCTATCGAATGCAATTTAACGATGTCTTTGCGTGATATCTGTACGTAAGAACAGAATAAAATACTCTTTTCCTTCAAAAAAATTATAAAACTGCTTTAAAATTAATTCTGAAGAGAATTTTTCGTGGCGTCTGTACGAACGTATGTACGTACGTGCGTTAGGTACGTACTTTTGACGTACGTACGTATCTCGCATAACTCAAAAACGAGTAGCCTCAGAACGTTGAAATTTTGTATATAGGACTGCTATAACATGTAGATTTGCACCTCGTATTTTGGTTCGCAATCGGCCGCACCAAACGTATATAAATATATTTATATATATATCCACTCTGATACCCGGCTCAGTGATCTCAGTTTCTTTACTCTTGCATGTTTGTAAATTGTACATCTTTTGCTTTAAAAATGATTGTATTATGTTGTTTTTATCTTCCGGTTACGGTTTTTATGCCTTTAGTAAATCTGTATGCAATATTTTTAGAATTATCAACAATTTTAAAGTTGTCTAAGTGCCGCTAAGCCTTTTTTTAAGGACGGCCATTGATGTTTAACATTTGAAACAGGAGACTAGTGGATTGTTGCCAATCTAGAGAACTTAGCTTCGCAACAACAAAGATAACGCATTCATTTATTATTGCCAATTAAATCATGTTTAATTCTTTCTGGAATTTTTTCAAGGAAATAAGTGTTTAAGATTTACTTCGTAATTTTTAATATAGATATTTAGAGTTTTTATGTATTTTTGCCTTTTCGCGAAGTGAGAACTGAATTAATTAAATGAGAAATACTCAATCGTCTGTGAAAAACTGTTTCTTTTTTGTTTTGTTTGCTTAATTTCTTTTACATATTCTAGCTTTATTATAGTATTTGAATAGAACATGTGGCAACGATTAGATAATTCTATTCTTTAAATGATATAAATTTTGTGCATTATGAGTTATAATATGAACGAATGTTATATAATTATTGGATTATATACAGTTAACTTAGTTCCGTTACATATTATTAATTCTGTTAAGTGAATCTAGCGCCAGAGTGTCGCGATGGTAAAAATACTAGAGTGAATTTTAAAGAATGTATTTATTCTATTGTGTTTTATGCGCTGTCGGCGAAGTAGATTTAATTCAATCCAATAAGTTTAAATGAAATGCAAGAAAAAAATGCGTATAATTATTATTCCAATTTAATATTCCAATACAAGGAAGTCATGTGGTGTACACATCAGATTTTTTTTAAACATTTTATGTGAAAAAAATTAAAAGAAAATTCTTACTTCATTACAGCTGATCTCCTTTATATTATTTTAGATATCAATAGTAATAGAAATCAAAATACATGTAATTTATTACCTTAGACCTTTCAGTTTCGAGTCACATGAAATTCAAAAGTTCCTGCTAGTTTTCATTTTCACTTGTGCAAGAGCACATGAACTACTAAATGCAGATTGAAGACCACTGCACTAAAACCATGTTCGCTTTCCCCGGAAATGAGCAGGCAGAGTTAATATTTGGAGAATTAAAACGACCCACCTATAAATCGGAATAGTATTCTTTCAAGGAAGGAGAATATTTATGAAATGATTTGAGAATGGGTAAATTTTTTGCTCAATTAAAATGTTATTGAATGGAAAGAAGGAGAATTTATAGATGAGATAATTTCCATATTTTCCAATAAATGCGAATGAGAACATTTCAGGTATTTTTATTCCATCAGAAAAATCTGGAATTGCAACTCTGAACTGTAAAATGATGAAAAATGTTCGAATTCCAATATTTCGAAATCGTTAATATGTTATGCTATGTTAAAATGTTATAAATAAATAACAGACGATTTAGTATTTCTCATTCAATTAATTCAGTTCTCACTTCGCGAGAAGGCAAAAATACATAAAAACTCAAAATATCTATATTAAAAATTAAGAAGTAAATCTTAAACACTTATTTCCTCGAAAAAATTCCAGAAGAATTTAAGCATGATTTAATTGGCAATAATAAATGAATACGTTATCTTTGTTGTTGCTAAGCTAAGTTTCTCTAGATTGGCAACAAATCCACTAGTCTCCTGTTTCAAATGTAAACATCAATGGCCGCCATTAAAAAAAGGCTTAGCGGCACTGAGACAACTTTAAAATTGTTGATAATTCTAAAAATATTTCATACAGATTTACTAAAGGCATAAAAACCTTAACCGTTAATATGTTATAAATTTACCCATTCTCAAATCATTCCATAAATATTCTCCTTCCTTGAAAGAATACTATTCCGATTTATAGGTGGGTCGTTTCAATTCTCTAAATATTAACTCTCCCTGCTCATTTCCAGAGAAAGCAAACATGGTTTTAGTGCAGTGGTCATTGCATACTATGTAAGATAAGGAAGAAGCGAGGTAAAATTCTAACTTTAACTTGTACCTTAAAGTTTTCTTTTTAATTCGATAATTTCTCTTTTTGATTTTAAACCTAGTAATATGCTTATAATAAATCGTTCTAAACTATTATTTCAAAATCTTCTAAATTTTTATTTAAAAATTAATCCCTATCATATGATTCTTATGCAAAAACTTATGACGCATATGTGATAAAATTAAAACCAAAACTTTTGTAGAAAGAATTATTTAATTTCTTGTTTCCATTAATTTATATAATAAATTATTTTTTTCTTTTTAGTTTATTGATGATTTTATGAGCTTTAAATAAAAGCTTGTAAGAGATTATTTTAAGTTTCTAACAGTTATTTTAATTTTTAAACATACTTTATTTCCATTCTCGTTTCCCACCTACTATTCCCAGCCATAATAAGTTTTTAGTACCGCGTATCATGTAAATGAGGTAGAAAGAGTATTTAAAAGAAGGTTTCGCTTACTTCAGGAGAAGAGCATAGGAGTCATCAGTGGTGCGTGTCTGCCGTCAGGCTGCTTCGTTCTTTAAAGCCGACTACGATTGGCCGTATTGTATGTGGCTGCTGATATTCGCCGGTTAATTTAATTCAAGGCCAAATACGTTAGATAATTTTGTACAGCTTCGGCTAAGTTAAGTTCAGATTAACATTAGATTAGTTTCTTATTTTCTTATATTGATTTAATGCCCAAGTGGAGGCTTTTCTATAAGCCCGAGAAAGGGGCCATCTGTATT